CTCTCTCTCTCTCTCTCTCTCTCTCTCTCTCTCTCTCTCTCTCTCTCCTTTCTGATGGTGGGCATGCTGTGTGACCATGACTGTACTGCCTACCCTGGCGTCACAGACCATCCTTTCCAACTGTGAGACCTAATAAAACCCTCCTTCAGTTGCCTTTATCAGGTAATTCGTCTTAACAGAAAAATAGTAACTTCTCGCATGCTGTCAGTTTCCACTCTGGCAAGTGGCAGTATTAGTAAATGCAATTAGCCACCCCTCTCTGCATGCCCCCCAATCCAAACTATTTGCAGCTCTTCCAGTTGGTGTAATGGAGCTTCCTGTGTGTGCTCATACCAGGTGAACCACCAGGCTGGTCCAAAGTGACCACTAGGATGCTGCTTGGGGTATGTCTTTAGTAACTTTTTCTGCATTAGTCCTCTACCTTTTCTTCTAGGGCTTCTGATTATATATGTTAGAGCATTCAGTATCAGGCCAGAGCATAGGTGCCCATGGCCCTGAGTGTGTTTCTGCAAATTCTCTCTGTTTCTTTGCCAGGGCCACTTCTTCTGATCTTTCTTGATGTTCGGAAATTTTTCTTCTAGCACCTCCAGTCCACTCCTAAGCTCCTCCAGGGAATTCAGTTATTATGATTTTACTTCCACAATTTTCCTTCGGTCCTGTCACACTTTCCCATTTATTCGTGTGTTTGTTAACACTTTATTAAACAATGGACATTCCGGGTGGCCTAGTGTCTACTTTAGACTTTATGAACTTCTTTTGAAGAATGACCGTTCTCATTTTAGCCTGTCGTTGAATTGCTGGTTAATCACCTTGAATTTTATGGGCTTGTGTCATATTTGGTTAGTGCAGGACTGTGAAAATCCATGGGGCTTTACTTTTCAGCTTTGCTAGCATGCTATTGCCTTATCTTAGAACACAGCTCTTTTGGTCTTTGTTGTTGTTGTTGTTGTTGTTTTGAGACAGGGTTTCTCTATATAACAGCCCTGACTGTCCTGGAACTTGCTGTGTAGACCAGGCTGGCCTCAAGCTCACAGAGATCCACTTGCCTCTGCCTCCCAAGCGCTGGGATTAAAGGTGTGTGCCACCATGCCTGGATAGGACACAGTTCTTGTTCTTATCAAGACTTCACCTTGTTGGTGTCTTAGCTGAAGGCCAGCTACAGTGATAGAGGGCATTGATGAGACCAATCAGCCCTATCTGTCTCAACTGCAGCATCCCTATTCAACTCTTGACTTTGTTGTAGCTACTGACTTACAGGTCCTGATAGAGATCCCAGCCCTGTGCTAAGAGTTATGGCCGACTCCCTATATCCCCTCCCTATCCAGTATCCTCCAATGTCCTGACCCTCAGATCCAGCCACTGGTATCCCCATACCTGATCTCTGTTTTTCCACCCAGCAGGGCTGCCATGCTGTGGTCAAATGCTAGCCCTTGGGGAATTTTTTAGGCCATAGAACTGACCCTGTGAGTTCCTCTTCCTCAGAACCTACCATTGTTCATCCTCTACTG